TGGGTTTACAGCTGTGAGTCACTATGCACGACCTGGAATCTGCATTTTTTCACAAACTTTCTCAGAGAATTACACCTGACTCCACTGAATTCTACAAGCCCAGATTTTCTATTTTTGCTTAGTAATTCTAGTGCCTGTTATATGCTAAGTGGTCAGGGCCAGATTAAAATGTTAACATCCAAAAGTATTAAAGAAATTATGCCCCACTCTTTCCCATATATAAATCAACATGAAATGATAATAGATAACAAAAATACATGAAGAGGGCTGGGCGTGGTGGCTCACGCCTGTAGTCCCAGCACTATGGGAGGCCAAGGCAAGCAGATCACCTGAGGTCGGGAGTTCGAGACCAGCCTGACCAACACAGAGAAACTCCATCTCTACTAAAAATACAAAATTAGCCGGATGTGGTGGCACATGCCTGTAATCTCAGCTACTCGGGAGGCTGAGGCAGGAGAATCTCTTGAACCCAGGAGGTGGAGGTTGCAGTGAGCCGAGATTGTGCCATTGCACTCCAGCCTGGGCAACAAGAGTGAAACTCTGTCTTAAAAAAAAAAAAAAAAAAAAAAAAACCAAAACCTGAAGAGAGGTCCAACAGATCTTATTTTTCCTATGGTGTGGTGGGTAGGATAATGGCCCTCCAAAGATGGCCATGTGCTAATTGCTGGCCCCTGTGAATATGTTACAGGGCAAGGACGAATTAAGGTTGCAGATGGAATTAGGGTACTAATCAGCTGACTTTGAGATGGGAAGATTATTCTGATTATGTAGGTGGGTCCAATGTAGTCAGAAGGGTCCTAATAAGGGAAAGAGGGCCTGGGCACAGTGGCTCATGCCTGTCATCCAAGCACTTTGGGAGGCCAAGGTAGGTGGATCACCTGAGATCAGGAGTTCAAGACCAGCCTGGCCAACATGGTGAAATCCCATCTCTACTAAAACTACAAAAATTAGCTGGTGTGGTGGCGGGCACCTGTAACCCCAGCTACTTGGGAGGCTGAGGCAGGAATCGCTTGAATCCCAGAGGCGGAGGTTGTAGTGAGCCAAGATCATGCCACTGCACTCCAGCCTGGGCGACAGAGCGAGACTCAGTCTCAAAAAAAAAAAAAAAAAAAAAAAAGGCCGGGGGGCCGTGGCGGGGAAGAGGAAGAGGAAGACAAGACAGTCAGAATCAGAAGTAGAGCATGGGGTGATGCAGTCCTTGGCTTTAAAGATAGGGAGTGGGCTATAAGCCATGGGATGCAAGCAGCCTCTAGGAGCTAGAAAAGGCAAGAAAGTTTATTCTCCCCTAGGGCCTCCAGAATGAATGTGACCCTGCCAACACCTTGATTTTAGGTCAGTGAAAATCTTTATCTTCTAACTTACAGAACTATAAGATAATACATTTGTGTTGTCTTAAGCCAATTCTTTGCCATAAAGCTCTTAAAATATATCCCCTTTTGGTTCTGCTTCTCTGATTGAACCCTGACTGATATACCTGGTAACCAATTTGATTCCCTGTTTAATAAAAGCATTAAGGATCAAATTATTGTCCAGTCGCAGTGGCTTATGCCTGTTATCCCAGCACTTTGGGAGGCTGAGGCAGGTGAATCACTTGAGGTCAGGAGTTTGAGACCAGCCTGGCCAATGTGGCAAAACCCTGTCTCTACTAAAAATACAAAAATTAGCTGGGCATGGTGGCACATGCCTGTAATTCCAGCTACTTGGGAGGCTGAGGCAGGAATGTAATTCCAGCTACCAGGAGGCAGAGGTTGCAGAGAGCAGAGATTGTGCCACTGCACTCCAGCCTTAGTGAAAGAGTGAGACTCCATCTCAAAAAACAACAACAGACTGGGCCTGGTGGCTCATGCCTGTAATCCCAGCACTTTGGGAGGCTGAGGCAGGAGGATCACGAGGTCAAGAGATCAAGACCATCTTGGCCAACATAGTGAAACCCTGTCTCCACTAAAAATACAAAAATTAGCTGGGCATGGTGGCACATGCCTGTAGTCTCAGCTACTTGGGAGGCTGAGGCAGGAGAATTGCTTGAACTGGGAGGTGGAGGTTGTAATGAGCTGAGATCGCGCCATTGCACTCCAGCCTGGGCAACAGAGACTCTGTCTCAAAAAAAAAAAAAAAAAAAAACAAAAAAAACAAAGAAGAACGGTATTTCATGGCGTGTGAAAGTAATGCAAAATTCAAATTTCAGTATCCATAAAGTTTTGTTGGAACACAGCTACGCCTATTTATATTTGTATTATTTATGCTGCATGCAAACTACAGAGTTGATTTGTTGCTACAGCGATTGTAAGGCCCACAAAGCCTTCAATATTTACTGTCCAACTCTTTACAGAAACTGATCAGGGAGGGATTCCCTGAGGAGGGGGACATTTAAGCTGAGACCTGAATGACAAGAAGACTGGAGGTAGCGGGCAGAGCTGTCTAGGCAGAGAGAACAGACAGCAAAGGCAGTTTTCTCTCTAATCTTGTAACAGCCTTCTAAAGAAAAGTGTTATTAAGGAAAAAAAAAAGAGGGGGCCCTGAGGCTCTGAGGGTGCTGTAGTCTCTCAGGGTCACGGAGACTGTAGGTCCTGAGGAGGGGTCGGGAACTAGCTCTGTCTGGCACCAGAATTTGTGGTGCCATATGCTGGCCCCTTCTTGGCCTGACATAGCATAGGAGCCCAGAAACTGCACGTTGAATGGCTTTATTTATCTTCCTCGGGGAAGGACCAGGGATTTTAGATTCATTCTCAGGAATAGGTGAGAAGAGCCAAGGACTCACCCATGGGCATGAAAGCATGTTCTCTGCAGCCTCATGGTTAGTGGTAGGCCCAGAAGAGGCCAAGGTCAGGAACTCCATGACCATCACAAAGCCCTCATCTGGCCTTGACAGCAGAATCAAGGCAAGGGCAGTAGGCGAGACATAGGCTAGAGAAGAGTAGTGAATTCCAGCTATGTGGGGTTTCCAACTTGGTGAATTCCAGTCATGTGGGGTTTATTGGTGCTGGTAGAAAACAGTAGCCTCAAGCCCTCAGTTGACAAGTGTGGCCAGAGAGAACCCCACTCTCAATCCTTTGTAGACCAGGTCATTCCTGCCAGGCTCTGTGCTAACAGAGGAGAGTAGGTTATTAGCCCCATTTAAGAGCCAGAGAAAATAAGGCAGTGGAGAGCAGCAGGGCTACTGGTTAAAAACACAGGCTCTGTGCCTGAATCCTAGCCTTGTCATTTGCTAGCTGTGGGAATGCAGGCAAGGGCCTTGATTTCTCTGTGTCTGTGGATAATGATGGTATCTACCTCAAAGCTACGTAAAGAATTAAGGAAACAATAGCCCACCACCACACCCACAGGAAGGAAGCAAGTTTATTATTACTCAAACATTGGTGGATCCTGATGACATTCTCTCAGTTAGCTTTAGCAATCTCAAGAGACCTCAGAGGATGGAGAACTCAAGGTTAGAGCCAGATTTCTTCTCTACCCAGTTCCTCGGGGCCAAAACCCTTACACCATGCTTAAATCCTCTTTCAGACGCCATAGTCCATCAGCAAACCCTATCTTCAGTATGCATCCAGGAGTCTAACCATTCCTGCCACCTCCTTGGTATTACTTTCATCCAAACTGCCATCAGCTGTCACCTAGATTATTGCAAAAGCCTCCTCACTGGCTTTGGGGCTTCCATCCTCTCTCTCTCGCCAACACCCAGTCAGCTCCCAGGCAGTAAAGCTCATGTTACTTCTCAGTTCAAAACCCTTCTGTGACTTCCTAACACACCTAGAATTAACTGATTTATTTACTCAATGATTATTTATTATTGAGTGTCTATTATGTGCCAGATACTGTTAAGGCATTAAAGATAAAATGGAGAACAAAATAGACAAAAATTTCTGCATTAATGAAGCTTCCGTTCTCATGGAGGGAGATGGTTAATAAACAAGTGTATAAGTAAAACATACGGTGGGTTAGGTGTCATGTGGAAAAACAGTTTAGGGAAGGCGGGGGGCCTTGGATTTTAAGTAGGGTGGTCAAGGAGGTCTAACACACAAGATAAGGGTTAAATAAAAGGCCAAACGTAGGAGAGGTGGGAGCCAAAGAGCCACCCAGAAGAAGAGCATTCTAGATAAAGGCTCGGCAAGTGCAAGGATGGAAGTATTCCTGGTGAATCTGTGACAATAGTGGAAAGTGAAAGTGTGTGGGAGGGGAGATATAGAGCCCCATGTCCCCCTCCCACACACTTCAGAAGGGAAAAGGGGGCAGGGTTGAGTCCTGTACATTCCCCAAGGTTTTTTTCTCTGATGGAGATTGGAAGCCATTGGAGGGTTTAAGCAGAGGAGTGATGAATTAAGGGATCACTCCAGCTGCTGTGTGGAAATCCATAAGGAACAGGGGTGAGTCAGAGACCCTGAATGGAGCCTTGCAATTATCCAGATGAGATAGAGTGGCTTGGATCAGGAAGGGAGGTAGCAACAGAATCGGTCAATAAAGTCCAAAGTCCTTACGATAGGGTTCCAGTCCTCCCGATAGGGGTCTCACCTACCCCTCCCACCTCACCTTGTTCCCTCCCCGCATCCCCACCCTACCGGCCACTGCTAGGTACATAGAAGGCATCTACTAAGCATGTGTTGAATCAATGAACTGCTTAATGAATGGTCCACCCCTAGATCATCAGCATCCATTTTAACGCTAGGCGTATAGTCTGAATTCAATCCATGTTTACAGATGGAATGTTGCACTGTCCTGTCAAGTCCAGGCGGTTATTTCTTTCCACAGCCGAAGGAAACTGAGGCTCGGGTTGGGGAAGTGTCCCCCTGGGGTCTCTCAGCTTAGGCTACAGGCTGGGCATCCCTTTTCAAACTCTTTTAGCACAGCGAAGTCGAGAGCACTGGGCGGAGGGTGCTTGCTTGCCCTCAGGGTGAGTCACAGTGACCTCACAGGAGTTTCCTCAAAACGTCCCCGGCCTGTGATGGGGAAAAGCCGGAATCTCTCGGGCCCAGGTTGTCATGTTGCCCAGGCCGGACTAGCTTCCCGAAAGCCCGGGGAGGGACTAAGAAACAATCCTCCCATGCGCTTTCCTCCCACCCTCGGGCCACTGAGACGGAGGCACAGAGAGCCGCCCCCGCGCGGCCGAGGCCCCGCCTCCCGCTCGCCGCCCGCGCCTCCAGCGGAAGCCGGAAGCAAAAGCGGGTCCTGCTAGCCCCGCAGCTCCGAACTCGGTGGCCCTGGAAGCTCCGCTGGATGGGGGAGAAGATGGCGGAAGAGGAGTGAGTGGGCTTTTTCCCGGGCGGCAGAGGCGGCGGGGCTGGGCCCCGGCGGGTGACAGCGAGCGCCTCAGTCCGCCCTCAGGCTCCGGAAGGCGGAGCTTCTTTTGCTGGTTGGCCAGGACTGACCAAGCTGGTGCCTACGAGGGGGGTGGCATGGGCGGGCCTGGGCCCAGGTGGGCCTTGCGTTCTCTTGGAGGTCGGTCCCTCGAGCTGGGAATCCGCCGCCCAGCGCAGGCCCCGAGAGCGGCCTTGCGGAAAATGCAAACCCATATTTACTTTCCCAGTTTTCGGTTATCTCATGGTTACTGAGCCCTCTTCCGCCTCCTCCAGGAAGTCGTCCGGGTTCTCCACACCCACGTCCTACGTAGCCAGTCGTCTCCTCCTCTGTAACGATCAGTTTTCATGTCTTTCTCCTTCACTAAGTTTTGTTCAGTCATTAACTGTTAGCCATCTACTCAATTTCAGGCCCTGGGCACATGGTAGGAAAGGAGGCCGACCAGGAGCCGCTCTCTGGGAGCTTCCATTCTAGTGGGAAAAGAAGACCATAATTAGTCAAGATGGTTTCAGATCGTGATTAATTAACCCTATTTATGCCTAGTGTTCTGTTATTGGAACGCTAAGCATGTGGGAGTTATTTATATCCTACTGCTCAAGGTCATCGCCAAGGTCTGATTTTTCTCACATGTCTGCAATTCTAAAAATTGCAGTCTCTGCCATGAATGGGTTAAGTGTTCCTAAGGAAGCAGAATAGAGTTAGGGTTGGGGAGTCCACTCAGGAAAAAGTGACATTCAGCACAAACTTGAATGACCAGAAGGAGGGGTAGGAGAAGTAACATTAGGTTCAGAAGGCCTGGTTGAAGAAAGGGTTTAGTGCTTTTGAGTGACAGGCAGCATAGCTGGTGTGTAGAGAGGAGGGGGGGTTAGCTGAACAAGGGGAGATAGGGAAGGACTATCTGTGTCCTCCAGGTACTTTTGGGCAAGTCCAAAAGTCATCTCCATACCTACAGGGCAGAGTCTGTTGCAGATTGTAGATGCCCTATCACTGTTTGTGGAATAAGTGAAGATGAATAAGGAACCCCTTCGTTGATACTGGACTCCTTCACCTGATAACTTTTCAAATATATTTCTTGGCCATATGGGGGTCATTTAATGTAATCAGATACTTACTGAGCAACTGCTCCATCCCAGACACTAAACAGGGCCTCAGCAGCACAAAATGAAAGAGGCAATATAGCCCAGTGATTTCAAGTTTGGGTTTTCAGTTTGATTCTGCCACTAACTGAGATGTTGGTGAAGCTTTGCAACCTCCCTGAGCTTTAGTTATGCATGGGTGAAAAAGGGAAAGTAATCATACCCAATCAGACATGTTATATCTATTAAATGAGAGGTAGTGTGTTACCTAGTTCCTGAAATGAAGCAGTGCTCAGAATATTAACTTTTATAGTCACAATTACAGTTATTATAACAGTATTGCACTAGTTCACAATCCCAGCACGGTGTGAAAGAGCTGTGGGAACATAAGCAGTGGAGTGGGTAAATTTGGGTGAGGTAAGATAGGGTGATAGGAGGTGACATTTGAGCCTTTTGAAATCTGAGAAAGATTTTGTAAAGTAGGGTAGGGCATGCCCAGATCAACCACTGGGCAAATTCAGGTGGCTTCTTCAACTTGCAGAAATAATGCAAGGAAAAGAATGTAAATTGGAGAAGCAAAGGTGCTAAGTAAACAATGTTGGACCTTGGAAAGTGATGAGACTCCAGTTCGCCTCCCTTTTAATCCCCCAGTATTTGCCACAGAGCAGGCAGCATTTCATGTCTCTACTAGCTGTAATTCCCTACCATTCTGTCGTCTGTGGCTGCATTCAAAAGCACCAGAGGCCACTAGTAGTGCTGTGCAGCCACGGATTTTCTTAATAAGTTTCTCTCCAAGACCTGCCTGTTAGTTACAAGACTTGTGAATCCCGTAAAATTCTTGGACAGCTGCTCTTTCTGGTGTGAGGTGTGTGAATTGATGTTCTGGGACCCTTTTCCATTATGTAATTATGCTTTTTATGTCCTCCAGGAGGTTCCCCAATACAACTCATGAGGGTTTCAATGTCACCCTCCACACCACCCTGGTTGTCACGACGAAGCTGGTGCTCCCGACCCCTGGCAAGCCCATCCTCCCCGTGCAGACAGGGGAGCAGGCCCAGCAAGAGGAACAGTCCAGCGGGATGACCATTTTCTTCAGTCTCCTTGTCCTAGGTGAATATGGACACTGTCATCCCCATCATCTGCCATCCCCAGTGTCTGTCTGCTTGGTCTGTGTGTTTAACCCTGTCACTCCTCTTGACTGTGTCAAGTCTTCCTCCCATTTGGTTTTCATATCAAACACTGAGGGAACATGTTCAGTTTATAACATCGTAACAGGGAACTCTCTTCTTTATAAAATCATGGCGCTTAGCAAGTTCCGAAGAGCTCTTTTTTTTTTTTTTTTTGAGACGGAGTCTCGCTCTATCACCCAGGCTGGAGTGCAGTGGCCGGATCTCAGCTCACTACAAGCTCCGCCTCCCGGGTTTACGCCATTCTCCTGGCTCAGCCTCCCGAGTAGCTGGGACTACAGGCGCCCGCCACCTCGCCCGGCTAGTTTTTTGTATTTTTTTTAGTAGAGACAGGGTTTCACCGTGTTTGCCAGGATGGTCTCGATCTCCTGACCTTGTGATCTGCCCGTCTCAGCCTCCCAAAGTGCTGGGATTACAGGCTTGAGCCACCACGCCCGGCCTCCCGAAGAGCTCTTAATGTAGTATCTTAGCCTTTGAAAGAAGGATTTAAAAAATTTTGGCCTAGAAAGAATCTTGAGGCCCGGCAAGGTGGCTCACACCTGACATCTCAGCACTTTGGGAGACTCAGGTGGATCACTTGAGGTTAGGAAATCAAGACCAGCCTGGCCAATGTGGTGAAACCCTGTATCTACTAAAAATGCAAAATTAGTTGGGCGTAGTGGCACATGCATGTAATCGCAGCTACTCAGGGGGCTGAGGCACAAGAATCACTTGAACCTGGGAGGCAGAGGTTGCAGTTAGCCGAGATCACGCCACTGCACTCCAGCCTGAATGACAGAGCGAGACTGTCTCAAAAAAAATAAAAAGAATCTTGAACATCTAGTTTAATGAATTTCAGGTTCTGCTCAAAGGAGTATGCGCGTGTGCAGGGGAGGAAGGAGCAGGGGGTAGGGTGGCAGAAAGTGGGAGGAGTCAGATGGGAGAATATCTGACCCTCTGCTCCTAGCTTCAATCAGAGCAGTATTTTGTGTTCATATTTATTAGACTTCCATGTGAATTTTATTTAACGGTTTTGCTGCTGATTGAAAGAGCAGAAATCCTTGCCCTAGCACCCTGTTTTCCTTAGCCTCTGTCATTCTCATTAACCATGGTCATGACTTTTGCGGTATCTGTGCACCGCCTGTATTGTTAATTTAGTTATGTGCTATTTTTGTTTAAATGCATTCACTCTCTGAAAACCTCATTTTGGGCCTGGTGCGGTGTATCATGGTGGTAATACCAACACTTTGGGAGGCCGAGGCAGATGGATCACTTGAGGTCAGGAGTTCGAGACCAGCCTGGCCAACATGGTGAAACTCTGTCTCTACTGAAATTACAAAAATTAGTCGAGCATGGTGGTATGTGCCTGTAATCCCAGCTACTCAGGAGGCTGAGGCAGGAGAATTGCTTGAACCTGGGAGGCAGAGGCTGCAGTGAGCCAAGATTGTGCCACTATACTCCAGCCTGGGAGACAGAGTAAGGCACTGTCTTAAAACAGAAAAAAAAAACAAAAACTAATTTTTTTCAACTTTCTCTTTTAGTGTGTGAGGAAATTTCAGCATGGAGAAGTCAAGTGATTGTCATACTGGGCTAGTGTAAGACTAGAGACTGATAACCAGGTTACCAGATAGCTGTCGAGAGGTTTCGATAAAAGACAAAAACTTAAATGCCTCCCAGAGTGCCTATAACTCCATCTCAAAAAACAAACAAAAAAGAAATCCAGTTGAAACTATACAACCACTCTTGATTAGCTAAGGAATAAACAGTTTTGAGTTTGACCCAAGTTCAAATTGTTTTTTTTGTTTTTTTTTTGAGATGGAGTCTTGCTGTTGCCCAGGCTGGAGTGCCATGGCGCGATCTCGGCTCACTGCAAGCTCTGCCTCCCAGATTCATGCCATTCTCCTGCCTCAGCCTCCCAAGTAGCTGGGACTACAGGTGCCCACCACCATGCCCAGCTAATTTTTTGTATTTTTAGTAGAGATGGGGTTTCACAGTGTTGGCCAGGATGGTCTTGATCTGCTGACCTCATGATCTGCCTGCCTCAGCCTCCCAAAGTGCTGGGATTACAGGCGTGAGCCACCGCACCTGGCCTGTAATCCCAGCACTTTGGGAGGCCGAGGCACGTGGATCATCTAAGATCAGGAGTTCGAGACCAGCCTGGCCAACATGGTGAAACCCCATCTCTACTAAAAATACAAAAAATTTTAGCAGGACATGGTGGTGTGCCCCTGTAATCTCACCTTCTTGGGAGGCTGAGGCAGGAGAATCACTTGAACCCCGGGAGGCGGAGGTTGCGGTGAGCCGAGATTGCACCACTGCACTCCAGCCTGAGTGACAAGGGGGAAACCATCCCCCACCCCCAAAAAAACAAAAACAAATTCTTGTTTGAAAGTGAAACAAACATTTCATTTGCTGCTTTTCTTTAATGATACCAAAGTCATATTCCTAATGAGATTAGATCTTTTCAGAAAGTTGAAAGGTGGAACTGTGTTTTTTTTTTTATTTCTCTGATGTGTATTAGGACTGTTTTTGAAGGAAAAGTATAACTTCTCTTACATTTATCTCTGGTAAGTGGTCAAAAATTTTAATAATACACTTGAGGCCAGCAGTTTGAGACCAGCCTGGGCAACGTAGTGAGACTCTGTCTCTATAAAAAATAAAAGATTTTAGTAATATAGTCTTTTTATTTGAAATCCTAGGACTCATCCTTGTCTGTCATAGTTTCAGAAACTTTTAAACCCATACTGAAAAAGTACACAGACCAGAAGTATACAATGTCTCATATAGATTTAATACACCCTGGTAATTTTTTACCCTGTAAATGTAGTTGAATTCTATTTCTAGGGGATTACTTCAACAATGAAGGACTCTTTTTTGTTTTCTTTTTTCTTTTGCGATAGTAGTCGAAGACAAAGAATAAAAGCATTTCTTTTCTTGATTAAGAAATCTTTAGTAGCTGAAGTCTTCCTTCAAGATTGAGGAGTATTATTAGTCTATTTACATTGCTGTCAATTTGATATGTTAGACAATATAAAAGGCGGGCCTGGAAAAAAAAAAAACAACTTTTGCAGTCACTTTTTTTTTAAGGGAAATTGAAAAGTATAATAGGACTTTTAAGTAACTTCCAGGGTGTGGAGCATTTAAGATTAGCTGTACAAAAGACCGCAAAACAGGTTTCTATAATGTACCTTTTATACCAGGCAAAATCCTGCCCAGTGTTAATAGTATTATCTTTGGGGCCAGAAAGGCTGAACTGTATTTAATAGTCCTGTATATTTCTCTTGGATTGTCCTCTCCAAACCTAGACTCTAGAGTCACACCAATGTTAGGTGGGTTTCATTTTCACCTAATCAGATACTTGATAGTTTATGAGTTACTGTCTCTGCTTATGTGGAGGTCAGCATGTATTAGCAGAATAGAATGATGCTTTCTTTTTAAGTAAATTCGAAGGCATTGTTTCCCTGTTGCATATTATTATTTATTTCTGGTTAGATATCCAAACACTGAAAATCTTTTTTTTTTTTTTTTTCCGAGATGGAATCTCGTTCTATTGCCCAGGCTGGAGTACAGTGGTGAGATCTCACCTCACTGCAACTTCTGCCTCCTGGGTTCAAGTGATTTTCCTTCCTCAGGCTCCCAAGTAGCTGTGGTTACAAGTGCCCACAACCACACCCAGCTGATTTTTGTATTTTTAGTAGAGATGGTGTTTCGCCGTGTTGACCAGGCTGGTCTTGAACTCCTGACCTCAGATGGTCCACCTGCCTCAGCTTCCCAAAGTGCTAGGATTATAGGTGTGAGCCACTACACCCAGTTCAAACAATGTAAATCTGATAATGTTTTTAAAAATTACTGTTATTAGGTAACTTGCTAATTCATGAATAAATGAACTCAAATTAATTAAGGTAAATTAGCCTATAGTTTATTCTAGACCTCAGAACTCCTGACCTGGAATTTATTTGCCACATTTGGTTACTCTTTTAGTTAATTCAAATGAAATGGTAACTTTTGTGTCCTCTAAGCACATCACAGGATTACAGTGTGTTCTTCTTTGTTGAGAAGGGATGACAAAACTCTGTAGTTACTTTTGACTTTTAGAAGCTTGAAATCAGTCGACTTGCATTTAACTCTTGTTGTTCTTTGACTCCACAAGAAAAAATGGGGAATCATTGTTATTTACTTACACTAGATTAATAATTAACATTATTTGACACATACATTTTATGGGCCTCGAAACTTAATGGAGTTATTACAATTGATATGTGTTTTATGTATTTTCCATAGTCATTACTCCAGGCATGAAAAATTGGAAGCACACCCTCCATACCACACAGTTTTTGCCCTTTCTTGCTCGGTTTTTTTCCAAGTGTACTTGAAAACATGTGCTTGTTTTTGTGTATACAGATGTATGTTCATAAGCACATACACAAACACAAATAATACATGTTTGGAGTTGCGAATTTGTTTCGACATGAATGGGGTCCTATAACTTGCCTTTTCATCTCACAGAATGTCTTGGAGATCGTTGTGTTGGTGTTTTTTCTGTCTACCTCATTCTTTTTTTTTTTTTTTTTGTAGTAAAATGCACATAACATACATTTACAATTTTGAACACTTTAAAATGTACAGTTCAGCAGCATCTAGTACATTCACAATGTTGTGCAGCCATCACTACTATCTACTTTCAGAACATTTTCTTCACCCCAAAAGAAAACCATTAAAAGCAGTCGTTTCCCATCCCTCCCTCTTCTAGTCCTTGGCAACCACTATTCTGCTTTCTGTCTCTAGGAATTTGCCTATTTAGAATACTTCGTATAAATGAAACCATATAATATGTGGTCTTTTGTGTCTGGTTTCTGTTACTTAGCATAATGTTCTCAAGATTCATGTTATAGCGTATGTTAGAATTGCATTCTTTTTTATGGCTGAGTAATATTCCACTGTATGGATATACCACATGATATTTGTTCATTCATCAGTGAACATTTGGATTGTTTCTACCTTTGGGCTATTGTGAATACTTCTGCAGTGAACATTTCTGTACAGGCTTTTGTGTGGATAAATGTTTTTGTTTATTTTGGATATATACCTACAAGTGGAATTGCAGAGTCAAATGGTTACTCTGTGTTTAACTTTCTCAGAAACTAGCAAATGTTTTCCACAGGGGCTGCACCATTTTACAAGGGTTCCAATTTCTCCATGTTCTTGCCAACACTTATTTTCTGGTTTTTAAAAAAATGATAGACTGGGTGTGGTGGCTCATACCTGCAATCTCAGCACTTTGGGAGGCTGAGGTGGACAGATCACTTGAGGCCAGGAGTTCGAGACCAGCCTGGCAATATGGCGAAACCCTGTCTCTACTAAAAATACAAAAAAATTAGGTGGGCGTGTACGTGGTGGCATACACCTGTAATCCTAGCTATTTGGGAGGCTGAGGCACTAGAATCATTTGAATCTGGGAGGTGGAGGTTGCAGTGAGCTGAGATCGCACCACTGCACTCCAGCCTGGGTGACAGAGCGAGACTGTCTCAGGGGAAGAAAAAACGTATAGCTATCCTAGTGGATATGAAATTTTTTTTGTTTTGTTTTGTTTTGGTTTTTTTTTGAGATGAAGTCTTGCTCTGTCTCCAGGCTATAGTGCAGTGGCATGATCTTGGCTCCCTGCAGCCTCTGTCTCCTGGGTTCAAGTGATTCTATCTCAGCCTCCCATGTAGCTGGGATTATAGGTGTGCACTACCACACCCTGCTAATTTTTGTGTTTTTAGTAGAGGTGGTAGTTCACCATGTTGGCCAGGCTGGTCTTGAACTCCTGACCTCAGGTGATCTGCTTGCCTCGGCCTCCCAAAGTGCTGGGATTGCAGGTGTGAGCCACTGCGCTCACTGTATTTTTTTAAAAAATCTTACATGTCCTTCCAGTGAATCATTGTATTTTGATTTTAGTTTCCCTAGTGACTATTGATGTTGAGCATCTTTTGTCTATTCATGTCCTATGCCCATTTAAAAGCTGTGGCGTTTGGCTGGGCGTGGTGGCTCACACTTGTAATCCCAGCACTTTGGGAGGCTGAGGTGGGCGGATCACGAGGTCAGAAGATTGAGACCATCCTGGCTAATATGGTGAAACCCCATCTCTACTAAAAAATACAAAAAATTAACCAGGCATGGTGGCAGGTGCCTGTAGTCCCAGCTACTCTGGAGGCTGAGGCGGGAGAATGGCGTGTACCCGGGAGCCAGAACTTGCAGTGAGCCGAGATTGTGCCGCTGCACTCAAGCCTGGGCGACAGAGCAAGACTCCGTCTCAAAAAAAAAAAAAAAAGGCTGTGGTGTTTGTCTCTTGGCTGTTGAGTTTAAGAGTTCTTTATATATTGTGGATACTACACCCTTATCAGATATATGATTTGCAAATATTTTCTCCCCTTCTATGGATTGTCTTTTCTGACTTTATTCTTTTTAATGGCTGAAAGCTATTACTTGGCATTGATGAACCTTTTATTTACCTCTTTCTGTAGTAGACAGTTTCTCCCTTTGCTCTTAAAGCTGCAGAGTTGTTTGATCTGTGTATGAGAATAACTTACATTTTAAAAAATCTAGCTTGGTACAAAGGAAGAGCAGAAACTGGCTCAACTCTCTTGGTCTATTTTCTGTCCACTTATGTGCTTATTTGCCTTTTTTTGTTTTGTCTAGACATTGAGCATGTTCATTAGTCACATGTTATGTTTATGCACTGGAACTTTTTTCTTGCCCTTAGTATTTAATGTAGGATTTCTAACTAGGTTAAATATTTATATAAAAATAACACCACAGATTGATAGTTTAAAGCACAAAATGAAAAGAGGACAAAATGTCTACATTTACAACACTCTGGCCACCTGGTGCTTTTTGGTGGGATTAAAGAAACCTCATTTGTCAATGCAGCCTCGGAGTGTGACCAGTTAACAGCCATGTGGATTGTTTAAACAGTTCCTTGAAAAAAATAACAAAATTAATTTTAGTCCTGTTAATAAATACTGGGGTTGATGAGCTGGTATACTATCTAGGTGCCCAATAAAAGAAAGAGACATGCATACTAACATTTGGATTAGGAAATTACATTCAGGAATAATTTTTGTGAAATACCTTATTTTTTTGGGTGGGGGGGCAGAAATATCCCTTTCAAATCATTTTATTTTACATCTTCTTCTTTTCTTTCATGACAACACCTCTGTGAAGAAAGTTAGACATTATTGTATTTTGGAGGTTGAGGAGTGAAGGCATCCAGCCAGGAGGGAGGTGGTGGGGTACACTGTGGTTAAGAGCACAGATTTGGAATCTGACTCAATACTGCAGCACCTACCAGTGGTGTGACAGGTACTGTGATGTCTTGAAGCCTCAGCTTTCTGATCTGTAATCAGAGAAGATAGTGGTAATGACAGCTAGTTCAGAGGGGAGTTGGAGGATTAAATGAGAGAGTAGTTGGGGTGTTCAGCCTAGTTCATGGCTCATGGGAAGCCCTCAGCCAATGAGAATGGCAGGACACAGCTGTACCCAGCTGCGGAGCAGGAGTGTTCCATATTCAGATCTCTGATGCTCTTGTCACCAAACCAAAGTGTTTACTTTTTCCTGTTTGTAAAACCCTCACTTCCCTCCATGTTAAGAGCCAGTCACATGGTGGCAAAATAATTTGTGTCAATGCAATCTGTTGTAGTTACATTTATGTAAAAGTGATTGATTTCATTGACTTCCTCTTCACCAAATAGAGTGTTCTAGTTGATAATCACTTCCAAAAAGTTGAAGACCATTTCTCAGAATCAGAAAAATTTGAATAATTTTAAATGATTATATAAGGTTTAATAGCTTATGTAAAAAAATAGATTTCTGGCTGGGCACTGTGGCTCACACCTGTAATCCCAGCACTTTGGGAGGCCAAGGTGGGTGGATTGCTTGAGCCCAAGAGTTGGAGACCAGCCTGTGCAACATGGCGAAACCCCGTCTCTACTAAAAATACAAAAAAAATGAGCTGGTTGTGGTGGCATGCGCCTGTAGTCCCAGCTACTTGGAAGGCTGAGATGGGAGAATCACCTGAGCCCAGGAAGTTGAGACTGCAGTGAGCCTAGATCATACCAATACACTCCAGCTTAGGTGACACAGTGAGACTCTGTCTCAAAAAAAGTAGGTTTCTGTTCCTTTTCCAATAACTACTGGAAAACAAACTAGTTCAGGCAGACAAAGAAGTATAGAGAAAATATAATAAACATTGTAAATGTACCTCCAGTTTAAGAAATGAGACATGAAAAGCACAGCTGAAGTTCACTGTGTTATTCCACTTGTCCATTTCTGTGAGGACCCCCCAGAGATACCACTGACTGGAATTTGGTGTTTATCATTCAAAATTGGGTGTTTTTTTAAAACAATATCTTATTTTTTTTGTCTACAGCTATCTGCATCATATTGGTGCATTTACTGATCCGATACAGATTACATTTCTTGCCAGAGAGTGTTGCTGTTGTTTCTTTAGGTAAGTATGTATTGGTGATTCCATAATGAAAGCAGTAACAGTAACTACCATTTTTTGAGTGCCTCTTTAGTGCCAGGAACCACAAGAGATGCATCGCATCCCTGATCTCATTTAATCCTCGCTGCAACCTGCCCTAAGGGTGTTATGATCCCATTTTACAGATGAGGACACTGGGGTTCAAGAAGGGTAGTGACCTCCTAAAGGTCATGTAGAAGCCTAAAGGCCATACAGCTCTGTACAGCTCAAAGGCCCTTTCTTAGCCTTTTAATTCTGGTAGAACTGCCCTTGGGGAACATTGACCTCTACTGCTAGGCTGGGCTGACATCCAACTCAGTAATGACACTTAATAGAATCACTCAATTTTATAGACAGAAAGGACTCTGACTTTACGGTTTAGGAGGAACGTTCAGTGGCTCACTTAATGCCAGAGTCAGATCTAAAGTCTTCAGAGAGCATTCCACTCTATCCCACTTACATTTCTGTTTTGTTTCCTGTGCCAATTAACTGTTGAGATCTAGTTGCAGTGAATGAACCCGTGTAATAACAGGTGTGAATGCACACACAAGTTCATTGAAGTGGTTAGTGAAGGAAGAAGGCAGGGAATTTCAGTAAGTGTAAGATCAAGGCTGAAATGGGGTGGAGACATGTAAGGCACTGTAAATAAAGTCTTAGGTCAGCCAAAGCTTTTTATCAGTTTATTATATTGTAGTCACTTTTACTAGTTTCCACTTGCCTACTGATGGTATTTAATTTTTCCTGATCACTGCTGATGTTTAGAAGTTAACTTTGATTGCCTGGTAGATCTTTAGTGGAGTAGTAATTCTTTCACAGGATAGTTATTGTTAAGGTTAGCTTTGGAAATGATTGTTCAGACTCTGTTCGCTAGCCTCCCCATCCTCCCATCACCCCAGCAGTCCTACTACCCTGGTTCAGAGTCTCCTGTATTTTCGCTGGACTTCAGTACAAAGTGCCAGATCCTGGCTTGTGAGGCTTCACATTGTCATCTCATTTATGCCTTATGAGCTCCAGGTGATACCATATTTTAAGGAATGAGCACCACTGGGTAGTATTGACCTTCAGTACAGGTTTGGAAACCAGTTTTACTCAAAAAGTTCGTGTTCTCTTTTTAGCATGCTTTTTAGCAATATATCTTGGTAGATTCTAACAGCCTTAGCTAATAAGATAGTCCTAGAGCTCCAAGAATAGGAGACTTGCTCGTTAACATTCCTTTCTGGCCAGGTGCGGTGGCTCACGCCTGTGATCCCAGCACTTTGGGAGGCCGAGGCGGGCGGATCACGAGGTCAGGAGATCGAGACCACCCTGGCTAACACTGTGAAACCCCGTCTTTACTAAAAATTAAAAAAAATTAGCTGGGCGTAGTGGCGGGTGCCTGTAGTCCCAGCTACTCCGGAGGCTGAGGCAGGAGAATGGCGGGAACCCGGGAGGCGGAGCTTGCAGTGAGCCGAGATCGCACCACTGCACTCCAGCCCGGGCGGCAGAGCGAGACTCCGTCTCAAAAAAAAAAAAAAAAAAAAAGAACATTCATTTCTGCTATTAGGCATATTGAAGAGAACCTCTGTGACTAATACCCATCATTCTGGGACATTCGGTAAAGGCTTTGAGAACTACTCCAAGGAATTTACAGTTGTGTGGTCAGTTTTACAGCTTCTTAAGGAAATTTGCTTTGAAAATTATAGTTGGTGTGTATTTAGATATTATACACATGAAAATTAAAATGATAATTCTTATAATTTGGTTTAGAATTTCAAGCTCCTCATGTTTCTTGAATGTTTGGGTAACTGCAGCTTGCTGAACACCAGTGCTTCTATTAGGACTTAGAGCAGACATTGTTGGTTGCTTACCAAAGAGTCATTTCCCCCTTCTTCCTTGAAAATAGAACCCCAATTTTGATCAGGTATCTTGCCACAGTGTGCTTGAGGAAGATGGGCCCCTCCAAGTCAGGATTGGTCTTTGCCATCATGTTAATTTCACTCCTCTTTGCCAATGATTGGTTGAGAGGGGTGGAGGTGGCAAGGCAGTGTAAAACCCATTTCTGGCAAGTGACACCAAGGTGAAGTGTGATGAGGTAGTGGGTACTGGATGGAAAATGTTTTCCTCTCCGATAGTAATGAGAAATTTCCCCTTCATTTCTTTGATGCTGCTGAATGAGGGTGTGATGCCTAGTGGACTGGTAGCCATCTTGCAACTACTGTGGCTCAAACACAAAAGCCAGAGTGCTAAGGATTGCCAAGGGGACAGATGGGAATCCCAGATTATTGATAGCATTGTTGCTTTGTTGAGTTGATAGCCCTGAAACTTCCTATCTTAGTGCTACCTTTTATATGAGATAATAAACATCTATTCGCTGTTGTTGACTTAGAATAAAAAAAAAATCAAAACCAACATCTATTGTTTAAGCCATTTTTAGTCTAAATTCTTTTACTTGCAACTAAAAGCATCTTAACTAACATAGAACTCTTTGCATTCAAGGGACAAAACCCAATTCAAAAGAAATTGGCCAGGCACAGTGGCTCACACCTATAATCCCAGCATTTTGGGAGGCCGAGGTGGACGGATCGCCTGAGGCCAGGAGTTTGAGACCAGCCTGGCCAACATGGTGAACCCCCCATCTTCACTAAAAATAGAAAAATTAGCTGGGCATGGTGGCAGGTGCTTGTAATCCCAGCTACTCTGGAGGCTGAAGCAGTAGAACCACTTGAGTCTGGGAGGTGGAAGTTGCACTGAGCCCCGGTCACGCCAGGACACTCCAGCCTGGGTGACAGAGCAAGACTCCGTCTCAAAACAAACAAACAAACAAAAAAATTGGTAAGGGTAGGGGCGCACACCTCTTGACTCAGATAACTGGCAAAACTACAGGTAGTATTAGCTTGAGACAGCTGAATCAGGTCTCCTGGACTCAGTTCTTCTCCATGCCTCAGCAGTGAATCCCTTTTCCCCGGCTTCACTGTCAGGCAGGCTCTCTCTCGCTGTGGTACTCTGATCCGCTCTCAGACAGGCTCTTGGTGTGGTAAGCCCTTAAAGCAGTAACTGCAGTGTGAGAGAGGACCTCCTCTTCTTTCTGGCACCAAAAGTTGCAGGATAAACTCTGACCACCTGGTGACCTCAGAATTGGGAGTGGGGTGGAATGGTGTTGGGAGTCAGCCAGAGCTCTCCATCTACAAGGTTCATTTCTTCACTGATGTTGCAGAAATAATTGTAGCCTGCATAACCAGGTCTTGGGAGAAGTGATGGAAGGGCAGTCTTGCCTTCAATACTTCCTTGCTAACTGAGGTCACTGGAAACCCAAGAGCACTTCCAGGGAGAGTGCTGAGGTCCAGAAAGTACTTTTAAAAAATTATATTAGAGGACATTTGGTTAGAATTTGCAAATGCTGACTTAGCTATCAAAGTAATTCTGTATTTCATAAAGCTAAAGAAATTGAAGGAAAACTTTTTTCCTCAGCTGGAGCAAAGTCTAACAAAATATTGACATATCTACCATTTCAAGAATTTCCAACTTTTGTGCCAAAAAAGGATCTAGATGAAGTTGCCAGAGAAAGTAGGGTTTTCATTCTTTGGGGGATAAATGTTCCCCTCCTGCCAGAAGTTGCTTTGTAGCTTGCAGTCATTTCGAGACATTATTGGTCTTTTACTTTATAGTTAGGTGTTCAGCGTTCCTAAGAAATTGTCAGGATAGAAAAGGACCATCTGCACTCCAAAAGCACATGTCCCCCACTTCTACTTTACTGTATTTTTAAAGGAGCGTCTGTCTGGCCACTTTTCATTCTCTATAAAAATATAGTGTCGACCTGAAGTTCTAAAGAGTTCCTTGGCCCTTGTTCAGAGCTTTCAGGATACTTTCTATACTTTATGGAATTCTGTAGTTTGGGCCTTTTAAAAACTAATTTCTTTTGCACAGTTAAACAACTACTATACATAGAAAAAAGAAAAATCCTGTTTATTGACAATTATTTTTATCTTGTTTCATTCTCTTCCAGTCCATGAGTAGACATGTCCATCTGTATTAGATGACTTTATATAGTTTAATTTGAGTTTATATCATTTTTTTGTGTTCTTCCCATGTATTAGTTGAGTTCACCTATTTATTTATTTATCTTTTTTTTCAGACAGAGTCTTGTTCTGTCACCCAGGCTGGAGTGCAATGGTGCGATCTCGGCACACTGCAATCTCCGCCCCCGGATTCAAGCGATTCTCCTGCCTCAGCCTCCCAAGTATCTGGGATTACAGGCACACGCCACCATGCGCGGCTAATTTTTGTATTTTTAGTAGAGACAGGGTTTCACCATGTTGGCCAGGCTAGTCTCGAACTCCTAACCTCAAGTGATCTGCCTGCCTCGGCTTCCCAAAGTGCCGGGATTACAGGCATGAGCCACTGTGCCCGGCCCATATTTATTTTTTTACTGGCTGTATAATGCTGATTCATGTATATATTTTAGGCTAAAATTTGTAAGGAATGAAAATGAGGCTGGGTTCAGTGGCTCACGACTGTAATCCCAGCACTTTGGGAGGCCGAGGTGGGCAGGTCACCTGAGGTCAAGAGTTCGAGAACAGCCTGGCCTACATGGCGAAACCCCGTCTCTACTAAAAATAACAAAAATTAGCCAGGCATGGTGGTGCGTGCCTGTAATCCCAGCTACTCGGGAGGCTGAGGCAGGAGAATCACTTGAACCTGGGAGGCAGAGGTTGCAGTGAGCTGAGATCATGCCATTGCACTCCAGCCTGGGCAACAAAAGTGAAACTCCGTCTCAAAAAAAAACCACAAAAAAAAAAGCAATTTTTTTTTTTGGTGGGGGTACGGGGACTTTCCAACAAAAACCGGAAAGCCTGCTAGACAAATTCTGAAAGAGCTGTAACTGGCCAAAAGTACTATCCTTAAAAAACAAAATAATTAAAATCTTTTAGTAAACAAGAAGGAATAGAATAGAATTAAATAGCACAAACATGGTTTAAAAAGTTGTGACAGAGGAGCACTTTTGTATA